AGTAACATTGATAGCATGGGATAGAGTCCGTCAAATTACAAAATCAGGGGGTGGGGTGGGGAGGTCTGAAAGTTAAATGTTGCAAGATATGAAACTATGTTGTAGCGGGGAAACTAATTTTGGTACTCATAACTTAGAAAGAAGCTCTTTGGGTTACGTGGGTTGAATTTGAAAATGCTAACATTTGCTTCTCAAAACCAATGTACACCATTTAAAGGTAAATGATTTACGTTTTTTATCCCACATATATAATCTAATTGTTCTCTTCTTCTAAATGTATACATTTTTCCAATGTAGCACATAACATCATATATAATTAGAGGACGTTAAATCCTACAAATATTACTAAATTATCCATATAATTTAAAAATGAAAAAATTATGATTATGCCTACTTAAAATTAAATAAAGTTTTCCGAATATCCTATATTGGAAGTAGTAGAGTAGTATATTAAAAGAAAATTAGATGCTACATTAATGGAAAAAATGTAACTCGTGTACCTTTAAACTTAAGAAAAAATTAAAATCGGAAGATGATTTGAAAAAGCGTAGCTCGTGTATTTTTAAAATTGGATTCAAAACAAATTTTATTGATTGTAATTCTTAAAGAAAAAAAACATAATAAAAAATTCAGATATATACTTAATATAACCACGAAATAAAAACAGATATCTTCACCTATATAATGCACCAATTTCTTGACAAAGATTCTCAAACTTATTATGTCAAGCCATATCCATTCACCAAAAACTTTTGTAATAGCACAAATTCAGTTCATGTACATATAGAAGACTCAACAGAAGGTGATAATATCTAAAGCAAAACCCTTTGTCGCTTTAAAAAAGCTATGGACAAATGGGGTCATTTATTTTATTTCCTTTAGAGAAGGATTTTATATATTTGTTTTTATATTGTTTAGTATTAGTTAAGATAAATGATCACTCATAAACTAGGTGATAATTTCTCTTAGCTAATACTAAATAATATAAAAAGAAATAAATAAGTCCTTTCATAAAGACAATCAAATCAATGACCCACTTTGACTATAGAAGACTTCACATAATTGAGGAACTATTTTATTCTGTCAAAGTTGTTGGAGGAATCATAGACACATAATTGAGGAACTATTTTATTCTGTCAAAGTTGTTGGAAGAAAATGATAAGGTTCGCCAAAATACTTCTAGTTTGGTCGTGGTTTTGCCGAGGATTTACTTCGATTAGGTATGTGAGACTCTCCTAAAGTTGGAATCATTCTCCCATGTGCCAAACATATTTATTTCTGTTTTGATTGATCCTAAAGGTGTTTGAATATTGATGATTGTAATACCTATTCTTTAATTCATATATTGTTCTTGAATTTGCCTGAGTCAGGAAGTTTCTGAGTTCATTACGTCATTTTTTAGAGTCGTCTCGAGTTAGATTCCTAGGTAAATTTTCTGGGTATTTGTATCTAAAATGATTTAAGAAAAAGAACTGAGATTTGGTGGATTGGGGAAGAAAAACAAACAAGTAATTTCGACATGCAAAATTTGAGCATTGGAGCACATCACACGACTTATTTGCTGAGCTGACACGAGGTGTTCTGCCTCAAATCGCACGACTAATCCCAGAATTGAAAAATCCTGCTCTACTTTGCTGAGCTGACAGGAGGTGTTTTGCCCCAAAAAAATGTTTTTAGAATCAAAATTTAATTTTACCTCTGCATCGCGGCCCCACCTTCAAATCTTTATTTTCGTATATTCTCATGTTTAGCTACTAGAATCATTCCCAAACAACATGAAATTGTCTCAAACACAAATCAAAATCCTGGAATCTATAATTCAATTGAAGGATCAGTTAAAAGTCAAGTAAAAAGCAATAAAGATCAAAGTCAAGTGAAGTCAAGAGTCAAGTAGAGAAGTCCATTTCAAGTTTTCATAAATCTTTCACACACATTTTAAATTTGCTTAAGACTTATGTTTTAAAGATGAGTAATGAGTTAAGATTATTTCTCAAAAGTTAATAAGCCAACTAAGTATTCCCTAAGAAATTTGTAAATGTTTTCACATTTAAACAACGAAAACTGAGATTTCCAAAAGAGCCATTGAGCTAGTTTTTCAGTAAAAATGAGACTATGATTTCCAAGAGAGTTTTTAAACTAAGTTGAGCAATTATCTAAAACCATAGAAGAAGTTGTTTCAAACACATATGAGCTAAGTATATTTTGGAAGTAGTATTGAGAACTGATATGGGTACACGAGTTCATATAACTCAAGCCCCATAAACCATGTAATCATCATGGGCAGAGAAAGGATCATACTTTTTAGATGATTTCTTGGTACTTTTTAGCATAGACTAGTAGATCTAGTTAGTGAGTTCGGGATCTATACTCAAGCCGAAGTTTAGAATGGTCCTTGTCAATATGAGGTAAAGCATTGTACCATCACTTAGGCTCATAGTGATGGTTGTTGGTTAGATAATCGCCCAGAGAAATTTTTTATTTTGATTTCCAACATTTTATTGTATTTTTACATACATTTAGAGTTACAATAATTCTTTTATAAATACATAGATGACATCTATGTACCAAAACATGTTTTTATATAGTGTATTCAATAAATTTCTTTATAGTGTATTCAATAAATTGCTTTATAATGAAATGAACTTAGTTAAATATTCATGAGTTGAGAAGAGTCAGGTATATGTTTCTTTCAGAACCTCTGTCAAACCTATGTTGTTTATCGTTCCAACTCGCATACTCGTATATTTAATGTACTGACACCAGTTGGCCTGCATCGTATTATAATGTCAACACAGGTAACGAGGATTGACACTAGCACATAGTTGATCCAGTTGAACACTCCCGAGTCAGTTGGGGAGCCACCTTACATTCCGGAAGACTCTTTTATTATTTTTAGTGTATTTAATTAGGATGTTGTGGGGTTTGTCCCAACATCCATCTTAGTTGTTTTTAGAGGCTTGATAGACAGTTAGTAGTTCAATTATCTTTACATTTTTATTTTAAATATTGTTTAAGGACTTCAATTATGTTTTTGGCTAAGTAATTATATATCTTGGAGTTATCTCTCTTATGTTTAAGACTTCCGTTGAGTAAGTAAGACAAAACAAGGTCCTTTCGAGGCCAACAATGGTCATCGAGTGCCGGCCACACCCAGTGTATAGGCTCGGGCGTGACAGTGATATTTGTTTTTATTTCGTGGTTAAGTATATAAATGAATCTCCTATTATGTACTTTTCTTAGAGATTTACAAACCTTAAATATATTTTGACTCTAATTTTAAAGGTTCATGAGTTAAGTTTTTTTCCACTCAAGTTTCATTTTATAATTTTTTTTTACGTAATTGAAAGGTAAATGAGTTATATTTTTTCCACTAAAGTATCTTTTAATTTTCCTTTAATAGATTACTACGCTTTAATGATAAGACATTTTTATTTATATTCTTAAAGACTTTATTTGATTTGGAAAAAGCAAATTCATAGTTTTTCCATTTTTGAATTATATGGACAATTTTAGTAATGTATGTAGGATTTTATATCATCTTTTTCAATAAAAAGTGATGTGTTAGAAGTGAAATAACGTGAATCATGTACATTTAGAGATGGTGAAATTAGATGATATAACTTTGATGGAAAAACATAAATCATTTACCTTTAAACTATAGTGGGCTTGTTCTAAAATCATCTTTGTCATATAATGCATATCCAAGTACAAGTTTAATATATGTTATTTTATTTGTTTCAATTTATATGTTACAAATGAAATTAAGAGTGCTCATTAATTTTTTACATAACTATAAAGTATTTTGAGTTGTTAATTATACTGATTTATAGGACTATTGACATAATTTTAAAGAATATCTATGTTACTCTCTCTGTCTTAATTTGTGTGATATATGCTAAATTTTAAAAGTCACCAAATTTTAATAAGTTTTTAATTATAGTGCTCATTTGTGCATAAATATGTTGGAAAAATATAATAATTGGGGAAAGTAGAATATCAAAATAATAATACATGAATTAGGATAAATATTACTACAATAATATTCTTAAGTGATACATACACATAAACTTGAGACGTGCTAGGCACTTTCCTAAGAAACTTATTCAATAGTATGAATGTTCCCAAGGATTAAACAAGCCTTTCCTAATTAATTTGAGGATTCAAGAATCAACAAAATATAAATAATATTAAAGAAAGCATGTCGAGAGAGGATATGATAGTTGGCTAAATTTACTCTTTTTTCTTAAGTTGTCTTCATATAACACAATGCCAACCAATATATATATAAAGAGAGAGAGAGAAAGAGAGAGTGAGAAGAGGAGGGCGGTGGACATCATCTACTTGGAGGCAAAGGAAAATATTTATTTGGGGAAAAAGATATATCAACTTGGTGGTGCCCAAGTTGATTAACGCAAAAGTTGATGCACTTAGTAATCCTTGGTATCCAAGTCATTTAAGATGGCATAAGATATGATCTCAATAATGGCTTTAAAGTTATTTTGAAATATCTAACAATTGCCCATATATTTTAAAATATTTTGAAATAGAAGAACTCGACTTGCTTAATTTTGTATTATAAAAATGTAATAGGTTTGGTGTGTTTCGAACTATGAACCAAACTTAGACGATAAAATTTAACTTACAGAATTATTATTGAAATATAAAATTTCTATGAACCAAGTATTCTTATGTAAGTGATTGATTCTACCAATCACATTTTAATCCTCATATTTAATTGTTTAACACGATTTTGCGCCAATAAGCCATGTGTGTGCCTAGTTATTCATGAAAGCTCTAAATATAAGGCCAAAATCTCATGGGAGTGGCTTCACACCACCTCTCATTTGCATTTTATGTCTCAGTAATAGTATTGACATCTTTCATTCCCCGAGCCTACACCCTGGATGTGGATGGAAACGGAAGACCATTGCTGGTGCCAAGTGAACCCTTGACCTGACTTACTTACTCAGTAGAAGACTTAAAGCATTAATACCAGAATGAAAATGCACTTACTCAACTGTGTAAAGGATAACTTAGAATGTTTTAAAAATAAAACATTGAACTTAGCCTAAATGGCAACTCAAGTCTTAGTAAATAATAAATGATAATGACAAAACTCAAAGGTCTAAAATCTCACTGTCTATGAAGCCTATAAAAACAATAGAGATGGACGTTGGGAAAAACCCCACAACATCCTAATGAAATAACTAGAAAACAATAAAATGGATCCTCTATAATGCAAGTAGGCTCACCAACAGACTCTGAACTACTCACTGGATCAACGATACGCCAAAATGTTGATCCTAATTACCTGTGTCAGCATCATAAGACATTGCAAGCCAACTAACATTAGTAGATTGAATGTACAAGTATGCGAGTTGGAATGCTAAACACAACTTAACTTGAAAAGAATAAGAAGGGAGCACTTAACTTTGTTATTCTCAACTCAGGAACAACTTAATCAATATAAAGAAATTACACAATATATATAGTAAAATTGTGGAAAACAACTTAGTCATTGAAGAATTCAATAACCAAACTCAACTATACTGATTCCATCAAGTAACACAGTTTCTGCGGGAGATTCTCTAATCCACAACCACAACTATCCGCCTAAGTGGTATAACAACATCTTGCCCATGTTGCCAGAACTGTCATATACTTTGCTCATATGTTTTTAAAACAACTTTTTTCTTTGGTTTGAGATAATTACTCAAATCTTAGCTCAAAGGATCTCTTGGAATCAATGTTCCCTTTCTTGCTCAAATGTAAATCATTTATGAACTCTTGGGGAATACTTAGTTCCCTTATAACATTTTTTTTTTGAAAATGAACTCAACTCTTTACTCTGTACTTAACTTGAAACTTGAGTCTTAAAAACAAGGTGAATGGTCTGGTAGACCCTAATTTACTTGTATCAATTTGTGTTCTGAATCCTTCTATTTACACTTTTGTCATTTGAGCCCTTAAACTCAAGAAAACACAATTTAACAAATTCCTCTGAATATTGACCAAGCTTATGTATTCTTAAGATGGGTGAGTTGGCGAAAATTTGTGACTTCACGCATCTTAAGGCGAGTGAACAACTTTTTTAATTTAAAAAAATATTAAAATATAAAAGAAATATTTTTTCTAAAAAATTAATTAATTAAAAAGTTATTTTTTCTTCCAACCTTAATGGTTTTCCAATCTTCATCCACATCTGAGCAATAACCTCAAAAGAGCAACAGCCATGGTGATAATAAAGGTTCATGAGTCGAAGAATAAGTCAAAGACAGACTTTATGGCTTAGATCTGAAGGTTGAGATTGGTTTTCTCCGTGTTGCAAAAGTCACTGATGGTTCTCCTAACAAGCTATCCAAAATCAAGATGGTAAGGTTGTCAATTGCACAGAATTTGACTGTCATCTTACAGAAGCAAAAGTCAACTCTTAGAGAAGTTTACAAGAACAAGAAGTACTTACCTCTTATGAAAAGTTTGGCCAGATCTGATTATACGGTGGCCAGATCTTGTTGTGCGTTGACTTAGGTTGTCGTTACTTTGGATAAGGACATTTAAATAGTTGTGGTGTGCGACGGAGATGAAGACGGGTGAGGGAGAAAGTTGCACAAGCGACATTCTTGATGAAATCTTCAGATTCTCCATTGATGTTGGAGTTTTTTTGGGTAAAAATTTGCAGAGGCGAGAGTTTTGCGTCAGTCCATGTTTGGAGGTGTAACGAGTAGGTTCATCCATTTATCCACAATACTCCAATTCTTGGTGTGTACAACAACAAAGATCGTAAAGAGTGTCTTGGGTACTGATGAGGAGTTCAAAGGCTTTAAGTCTAACAAGCAAAAATTCCAAGAAAATGAATATTTATGCATAAATCATGATTAATGTCAAATGCCGATGGTGGTACTGAATCATCTTATAAAGCCAAGATAAGTTTAATTGGAAGAACGGTCTGTAGGAATGGTGAAAAGAATGTGGAGGAGACGAAGAATGGTGCTGCTGGTTTTGGATTATGAAGAAATTGACATGATTTGTCCAATTTGCCTTCGGTTATTGCTGAGAAGTTTACAATATCTGCCTTAATGGCCTTTTCAAATTTCATTGACCATGGCGAGGCTCCAAATTGCTACTTGAGGGAGAAAGTATATGTAACTCGATGGTAAAAATGGTGACGACACCAGCGATGACTTTCTTTTTGTCGTGAAATAGTGAAAATAGGGAGAATTAGAAATGTCAATAATAAATTAATATATTATTATTTTATATTTTATTAAATAATATTGGTTAATAATTTGTAAAAAATAGTTTTGAAATAATTATGATGGGCATTAGTATATGTGATGTGGACATGGCATGTCAATTATATAAAGGAGAAGGAGCTACACTCATGGTCGAAAGGGATTAAAAGTCTCATTTCAATTGAGTTTAAGGGTTCAGATGACAAATGTATAAGTAGAAGAGTTCAGAATATAAACCGATACATGTATAAGGGTCCACCAGACGATTTCTCCTAAAGACAAAATCAAAACATTGTTAAAGACTCTTGAAAACTTTTGAGAAATTTGATTTGACTTGCTTCTTATCTTTTAGACTTGACTCTTCACTTCTTTGACTTTGAGCTTAACTTTTCTTTAATTGGATTATGAATTCAAGGTTTATAATCTCTTATTTATTGATGATTTAATGATGTTTCAGTATATCTTAGAGTGTTGAAATCAACTAGGAAACATAGATATATCACTAAAGAACTAGTTAGCAAAGATGGGGGAAGAACGGGGAGAATTGGCGTCCTTGGCCTCTGACAGGTGGGGGGTGCCAACCCTCAAACTTAGAAGAGAAATTGGGGCACTCTGTCTGGAACGATGCGCCAGAGGACAGAAGTTAGAGGGACTTTCGTGGCGCTCTGGCAGATGTGGCGCCTTAAGCTTTGACTAGAAAAACCCGGAATTTTCTTTGCGTTTTTCATATATAAGCCTTCTAAATTTCCATTATTCTTTCCCCAAACAATTAAGATCATTATTAATATTAATATATAATAGATTCAAGCCTACAATACACCCGGAAACATGGATAAAACCTCAAAAAACTTCAATCAAACAACCCACAAGAATTCAAACGAATTTAATCAAGAAGTCAAAGTATTTCTTTATAAAACAAATATTATTTCACTGAATTGAGGAATGATTGGTGCGTTGGTGAACAAAATCTTACTTTACCCAAATAAATTCCTAAAAGCGAATTAATATAATTAGGTAAGTACAAGACTAATTTGCCCTTCTCAAATCCATATTAGACTTTTTTTAATCCAACTTCCGAAAGGAATAACACACTCATTTAAACTTTAGAATCGCGCAAACTTGGCAGAATTGGGAAGATCATTCCAAGATATTTCCAACCATATATGGAACTACACCTAACTCATCCTGATCTAGGAGTTATGGTCATTTGAATTTGACAAAAAAAACTCACTTTTAACTTACTTTAAAATATCTAGATTTCCTTACACTTTCAAAAACTTACTATTTCAAGATTTTAAAATTCTTTCTAATTCATTGTAGTTGCATGATGTTACAATATCTCCCCCTTGGGAACATTCGTCTTCGAAGGAGATTACTCTTATTAGGCTTAGCCTAGAAACATCAAGTTTAAACACCCACAAGTAAATGCAACCAAACAGCATGCTCACTTAAAATTATGTAGTATTAAGAAGAACAATAGTACATTGTTATGAATTTTCAATGAATTCAAAAAGATTTGGATATATCTTTTTTATGTCCTCTTCTCTTCCCAAGTATCTTCTTCAATATATTGGTTCCTCCAAAGGACCTTGACGTGTGCGTCCTCTTTTTTTCTCAACTTGCAAACATGCCGATCTAGAATTTGCACTATGAATATCCTCATTAGGCAAGTTATCGTTGATTCCAATATCTTCAGTTGGAAATATCAATGCAGGATCACCCATGCACTTCTTTAACATGAAGACATGATACGTTGGATGAAACGTTGCTTACTCGTGTTGTAGCTCCAACTCATAAGCTACTTTGACAATCTTCTTGGAAATTCTATAAGGACCAACATACCGAGGGATAAGCTTCCCCTTCTTACAAAAACTCATAACACCCTTTAGGGGTAAAACTTTCAAGTAAATGCAATAATATATATCTCAACCTCTAACACCCTTCTACTAACATAAGTGTATTATTTATTACAACTCTGTACCATTTTCAACCATTCTTGAATAACTTTCACCTTTCCACTAGCTTGGTGAGCTAAATTTGGTCCTATCAACCCTGCTCCACCCACTTCAAATCATCCATTAGGAGATCTAAATATTATCCCATAATGAGTTTCATATAGAGCCATTTGGATGCTAGAGTGATTACTGTTGCTGTAAGAAAACTCAATGAGAGGTAGTCATCCCAATTCACTTTGAAATCAATCACACAAGCTCTAAAAATATTTTACTAATGTATAAATAATGCTCTCCGTTTTCCCTTTAGTCTGAGGATGAAAGTCAGTACTTAAATTCACCTTTGAACCCAAGCCTTTCTTAAAAGATTTCAACAACTACGCAGTAAATTATGCACCTTTATATGAAATAATGAAGACCGGAACCCCATGAACTCCTACCATATCTATAAGTTACTTCTTAGCATAATCTTTTGTCAAATGGTTCGTCTTTAGCTGCAAAAAGTGAGTTGATTTTGTCAGTCTATCGAAAACCGCCCAACTACAATCGTGTTGCCTGAAAGACCTTGGTAAGCATGTGATAAACTCCATGTTAAGCTTTCTCCTATTTCTTTTTTGAAAGTTATATATTCTGAGCCAAACCACGGGACTTTGGTTTTCCTACTTAAACTTGTTGGAAATTTGTAAACTTAGCAATAACATATGCAATGCCCTTCTTCATGCTACTCCACCAATACACCCCTCTCAAATCGCGATAAATCTTTGTGGAACCCGAATAAATGTAATATCTATATCTATGAGCTTCCTCCATGATCTTATCTTCAAGTCAGTCCACCATTGATATACACAATCAACCTTGACACCTCAATACATGAACTCACCTTTGCTCAAAAGCTATTACTTTTTGCATATGATTCTTAGCCTTCAATTCAACAAAATTAGAATCCTGGTCTTGTTTTTCTTGAACTTCTGACACTTATGAGAACTCAAATCCATTCGTCACCAATATTTCTCTTTCTATATAATCAATAAGTCAGACTCCCAAGAGTGCAAGTCTGTGCATATCTTTTGCTAACTCTCCTTTCCTTCTTTAACATGGGAAGTGCTTCCTTAATCAACATATTTAAGGCATCACCAACCACATTAGCCTTAATTGTGTGGTAAAGAATACTCGAGTCATAATCATTGAGTAATTCTAACCACCGCCACCTTTTGAGATTCAAGCTCTCTCTCGAGAAAGATTGGTTTTTTCCTAACGACATAATTTTTGGAAGTCAAGTCAGTGGACTTGCCAAATTGAGATTGGGAAAGTTATGCCATGAGAATGACATGCATCATTATAATTATCTTATGGCACACAACAGATAACACCTTCATAGAGCACATAACATGTAACACATAACTTCTTTCATATTATTCATTCATATTCCATGAGACCTTGTTATCATGGACTTGACCTTAAGACTTTCCAAAATGAGGGCTCAACATATGGGACCTCAACTAGGGAGCCTTCTTTAGCACACAAAGAGTCGCTTCATTCATTCATGCGTACCTCATTTAAGTTCATTCATGGGCCAGTGTGAACACCTGCTATATCTAGGATGTAGTTTAAGACTTTCATCGGGTTTGATGTGCAATGATTAGGAATAACTTAATGTCATTACCTGAATCTAGCTCACCTCTTGATAATCCTATCCTAACACCTTCGGTATCATTGATTTCTTTATACGATTCATTTGAGGTTGGCCTCATTCATTCATTGGGAACTTTAACTTTAACCGACATAGATCATGTGAGCATCATGAAAGCCAGTGTCTCCCCCACACTGAAAAGAGGTGGAATCACTCGCTAAAGTGACTCAATAACATGCTAGCGTATATGAGAATTTAACCCCGCCAGAACACTATATTGGCAATATAGGTTCAAAGACTAGGAGATGTATGGAGACCCATACCCAGCAAGCCGGACAGTCTCATCTCATGAGAGTTACGTGAACCTCCGCCCTTCACGAAAGAAGGCATCACCACTCATAGCTAGCCTATCGATGCTCAGTATAAAGTTCCATTGCATTCAACTCATACATCATGGAAGCTAGCTTCTAGTATGAGTTCAAAACACTTAATACTAATGATGAGATGAGAAATCATCTAATGAGCTATGTTGTCCTAGGATGTAGTTTAAGACTTTCATCGGGTTTGATGTGCAATGATTAGGAATAACCTAATGTAATTACCTGAATCTAGCTCACCTCTTGATAATCCTATCCTAACACATTCGGTATCATTGATTTCTTTATACGATTCATTTGAGGTTGGCCTCATTCATTCATTGGGAACTTTAACTTTAACCGACATAGATCATGTGAGCATCATGAAAGCCAGTGTCTCCCCCACACCGAAAAGAGGTGGAATCACTGTCTAAAGTGACTCAATAACATGCTAGCATATATGAGAATTTAACCCCACCAGAACCTTATATTGGCAATATAGGTTCAAAGACTAGGAGATGTATGGAGACCCATACCCGGCAAGCCAGACTGTCTCATCTCATGAGAGTTACGTGAACCTCCGCCCTTCACGAAAGAAGGCATCACCGCTCATAGCTAGCCTATCGATGCTCAGTATAAAGTTCCATTACATTCAACTCATACTTCATGGAAGCTAGCTTCTAGTATGAGGAAAACATAGCTCATTAGATGATTTCTCATCTCATCATTAGTATTAAGTGTTTTGAACTCAATATTTTCATTAGAGTGTTCATAGAGACTGGTCTCTTCATTATATTAGACTCTCATTGGTGAGTACGTATTGGTAACATTTACTTAGGCTCATTTGAGATTTCTCTCATCATATACCTTATCCTCACATCATGATTGCCACCACATTCTTCATTATTAGTACCTTTGTTTTTCATAGTTATTGACCTCTTCTTACGTGAATGTTCATTTCTTCATTTCATAGTTCATCTCATCACATGCCAATGCACTTGGCCATTTAGTGTATCTTGCATTCGTACTTAACCCTCATAAGATTCATCATATCATTACATATATCCTAGCTTCACTTATTTTTGAATGTATGTTAGACTTATTTGTGTATGCATACAAGCCATGGGGCTTTATTCATAGTTCGCTAAGTGATTCTTACTTTCCAAAAATTATGTATTACAAGACTTATGTATCTTGTATATATGCCAAGATCTGATTCTTGATCTAAATAGATGGCATTATTCTTGAATATTTTACTCACGTACGACTTATGTATCAATACGGAGGTTTGGGAACGGGAACCCAAATCTTGAATCACTTGGATATCATTTATATTTTTCATTGATTTTATTTCAAATATTTATAACATTAGAACTTTAATATCATCATTTTCATGAAATAATTAATTTTCTATTTTAATTAAAATTCTAAATTAAATCTCAACATTCACATGAAGGGATTAATTTTCTATTTTAGTTAGAATTCTAAATTAAATCTCAACATTTTTGTGAAGGGATTAATTTTTTTTAATTAGAATTCTAAATTAAATCTCAACATTTACATGAAAGAAATAAATTTTTCTATTTTAATTATAATTCTAAATTAAATCTCAAAATTTATATGAAGAATTAATTTTCTATTTTCAATTAGAACTCCAAACTAAATCTCAATATTTACATGAAAGAATTAATTTTATATTTTAATTAGAATTCTAAATTAAATCTCCATATTTACATGAAAGAATTAACTTTCTATTTTAATTAGAATTTTAAATTAAATCTCAACATGAAAGAATTGATTTTCTATTTTAATTAAAATTCTAATTTAAATCTCAATATTTACATGAAGGGATAAATTTTCTATTTTAATTTAACTATTAATTAACCGAAGGGTTGGGGGTTCGAGCCCCCACAACCCCTTTGATTTTTAGAATTAAAATTGCTACAATAGGGAGGTTGTGGGTTCAATCCCCACTCTCCACATTTATTTTTACTTCTCTATTTTCATGGTTTTTAACATGGTGAGGTCACGGGTTCAATACTCCATGACCTCACTTGTTTTGATTCATTTTTTTCGACATTTTGAACCCTCTTTGCTGACCGAAATTCATCACTAGAAGCTGGAAATTTCCTTTTAATTTTTCAGCATCCTTTTATCAAGTTACACCTTAGTTCTTAGGGGAATTTCGTAGTACATTTAGAATGTTTTAGGTGCGTTTTCTTGGATTCGTTTAGACAAGAGATTATCCCTCAAATCAGCCACGTTTCAACTCATATGAACATCACATTTACATCAACATGTGTACATGAAATATAAAGAACTATTATGCCATTTTGAATCCTAAACCCTGAACAATAGCCATGGCGACACACACATACACACGTTGTGACATTTTCGGGAACATCAACATGAGTCACATAATTCTAAACATACATATAAACACATAAACATAAGGAAAACATTTTTCATCCCTAGCTTTCTACCAGCAAACATAACCAACCTATGATTCAATAGGAGCTAGTGACAGGGACATGCAACGGGAAATAATCCTAGTATTCGGAATGAATATTCTGAACCTTACGGGGTCTCTAGGGAAAGGGACCAAGAGAGAATAGAACTCATACCTTAATCAATGTTCAAACGCTGATGTTGCTGCCCGGAAACTCCTCCAAACCACTTCCAATTTACTTCCACGTACACCTCATTCGACGAACCTCTCTTAGCCTTGACGTTTTGATTACTTTGTCTTTTACTTAAAAAATCTTGTGAGTTCTTCAAGTGTGAATAACTCTTGATGTATTTTCAGTTCTTTAAATTATTTTTTGCAGAAACCAACGAGAGAAAGAGAGAGATAGATATGGAGAACGTGAGAGGGAGATAGAGTGTTATTAGCATTAGGAGACTAAATTCAAGACTTAGTTAAATAGGATTTAATTTAGATTAATACAAATCTGATTTATTTTAATTAATACGTGAAAGGACCATTATGCCCTTGAAATTTTAGATTTTTAATTAATAATTAAATCACCTTAAGTACCTATTTATTCGATTTAATTTTTTTTGGATCGTTACATTATCCCCCCCCCCCCCAGGAACATCCGTCCCCGAATGACACAACCATTACACATCGTAATGCCAATCCGATCATAACTTAATCGCTATGTACAATTAGCCAATAGAAACAAATACGAAGAGATAAGGAACTAAAGCCTTACGAGTAGGAAGTCTAACCTCATACTAGTGCATACACACCACACACAGTCAAATACATGATAGACTAAATAAGGCTACTCACCCGAGACTTCATCAAAAGTGCCTTCCCCTGCACCCCTAGACTTGAGTGCGAAGAATCGTTGCCTCCTTGGAGCCTCTTCACTTGGACCATTAGACAGAACTCTGTCCTTCCCTTGTTCTTGACTTCTCCTAATCAAACAATCCTTCACCATGTTACCCGGTTTTCCACAACTATAGAAAGCATTAGTGCCCCTCATACACTCTCCTCCATGTAGTTTGCCACACTTTCTGCAAGGTGGTCTCTCTTGAGGTGTATCTACTTCATTGTTTCTCTTAACTCTGGACTCAGAATTCCTATTATGGAGACCCTTGGATGAACTTGACTCCCCTTGGTGAAAGAGTCCCTTCTTAAACCTGGGCTTATCCCTGATTTCAGTACTACTCTTCCCTGAAAAATTCTCCTCAGCTTGCCTTGACTTGTTCCCTACCCTAGTGTGTTTCCTCTTTCGGTTTTCCTCCACTTGATGGACATGGACCATAAGCCTGGAAACCATGATGTCATGCAGCATAGCTTCCCTACATTCCTCGTCGAGATCCTCAGCAATTCCTGTCAACAATATACTCATCTCGTCTCTGCTGTTAGACACAAGAAAAGTAGCATACCTTGATAGTTTCAAAAACTTCAGGGAATACTCCCTGACCGTCATAGACCCTTGTTTATGGTTAATCAACTCCTCAACCTTGGCCTCCCTCATCTCTCTGGGGAAAAATCTTTCCAGAAATGCTGTCTTGAACAACTCCCATGTGACTGGCACTCCACCTAGGACACGACCATCTTGCACCAAGTCTGTGCAACATCCTTGAGTTTGTAGGAAGCCAGCTCAGCCTTCTCAATATCAATGGTCCCCATGGCCACCAGGATCTTATGCACCTCGTCTATAAACTCCTCAGGATCCTCTGAAGTCTTAGCCCCTGTGAATATAGGAGGATTCATCATCGTGAAATCTCGCAATCAGTCAGCCATGCTGCGAACCGGTGGGTTCTCCCTCTGAACATCCTACCGGTTGACTTGGGTAGTCATAGCCTGATCCTGCATCGTGATGTTCTATGCCATCTAGGCTAGAGATGCACTCACCTCAGCATCAGTCAACCCAGCTGGGTTAACTAGCATGTCCACACCTTTAACTGGAGCTTGGGGTTGATTCTGATTACCCCTAGCTGCTACCCTTCCCGTCCTCAGACCCTTAGATCACCAAGTGTTCATTCTCTGAAAACAACAAGGATTGATGTTAGACACGTTCATAACACAAAGAATTCAGATATTAGGAAAAGCACGATAAAATCAGAAGAAGGGAAATTTTTCCTAAGCATCATGCAGTCTCTAATCAAGGATAGTGGTGCACTTCACTACCATGACTTAGAAACTACTCAATGTGGTTGATGTGAACTGATTATTCTCGGAATATAACCTAGGGCTCTGATACCAACTTTGTAACGACCGAAATCTTGACCACAGACGAGACCGGCGTCGTTTACCTCTCAGAGGTCACAAACAAGCCTACTTACGTCGTTCTTACTTTACATAGGTTAATTTTAGCGAAAAATTTAAAAAAATTTATTCTTTAATAATACATGCTAAATATTCTTAATATTTCATAATCGTTCATCATCAACCATCTAACCATTGAGAGATAAACAACTGAATAAAATAATTCATCAAGTATTAATTGTTTATCAGCCAAAATAGCACCAATACAAAATCTGAACCAAAGCAGGAAAGAAACACTAGTTGAACATGCTCCACTAGCTCAACTCTAAAACTACGCTAGAATTTAAAATAGTAGCATCCTCAAAAGCGTGAGGACCTACCAAACTCCGGATGAATGTTGACGTCCGGATAGCTGCAACAACAAACCTATAGCTCTATAGTCCACCTGTGCCTGGACCTAAAAGTGGATGTTTGTATGGAATTAGTACACACTTGTACTAAGTATGGATATGTGCAAGCACACACCAGGGACATACATTAGAAAGAATAGTTTTTACCTGACGACATGATTTTTGGAAGTCTAGTAAGTGGACTTGCCAAATTGAGATTGGGAAAGTTATGTCACGAGAGTGACATGCATCATTATAATTATCGTATGGCACACAACACATAACACCTTCATATAGCACATAATATATAACACATAGCTTCTTTCATATTATTTATTCATATGGCATGAGACCTTCTTATCATGGACTTGACCTTAAGATTTTCCAAAATGAGGGCTCAACATATGGGACCTCAACTAGGGAGCCTTCTTTAGAAAACACAGGGTCTGTTTCATTCATTCATACGTACCCCATTTAAGTTCATTCATAGTCCAGTGTGAACACCAGCTATACCTAGGATGTAGTTTAAGACTTTTATCGGTTTTGTTGTGAAATGATTAGGAATAACCTAATGTCATTACCAGAATCTAGCTCACCTCTTGATGATCCTATCCTAACACCTTCGGTATCATTCATTTCTTTATATGAATCATTTTAGGGTGGCCTCATTCATTCATTGGGAACTTTAACTTTAACTGACATAGATCATTTGAGCATCATGAAATCCAGTGTCTCCCCCACACCGAAAAGAGCTGGAATCACCGGCTAAAGTGACTCAATAACATGCTAGCGTATATGGGAATTTAACCCCGCCAGAACCCTATTTTTGCAGTATAGGTTCAAATACTAGGAGATGTATCGAGACCCATACCCGGAAAGCCGGACAGTCTCATTTCATGAGAGTTACGTGAACCTCCGCCCTTCCCGAAAAAAGGCATCACTGCTTATAGCTAGCCTATCGGTGCTCAGTATAAAGTTCCATTACATTCAACTCATACATTATGGAAGCTAGCTTCTAGTATGAGGACAACATAACTCATTAGATGATTTCTCATCTCATCATTAGTATTTAATGTTTTAAACTCAATATTTTTATTATAGTGTTCATAGAGACTAGTCTCTTCATTATCTTAGACTCTCATTGGTGAGTACGTATTGGTAATATTTACTTAGGCTCATTTGAGATTGCTCTCATCATTTACATTATCCTCACATCATGAATGTCACCACATTCTTCATTATTAGCACCTTTGTTTTCATGGTTACTCACCTCTTCTTACGTGAATGTTCATTTCTTCATTTCATAGTACATCTCATCATATGCCAATGCACTTGGCCAGTTAGTGTAGCTTACATTCGTACTTAACCCTTATAAGATTCATCATTTCATTACTATATCTTAGCTTCACTTATTTTTGAACGTATGTTAGACTTATGTGTCTATGCGTACAAGACATGGGGCTTTATTCATAGTTCGCTAAGTGATTCTTACTTTCCTAAGATTATGTATTACAACCCTTATGTAACTTGTATATATGCCAAGATCTTGATTTTTGATCTAAGTAGATGGCATTATTCTTGAATATTTTACTCACGTATGACTTATGTATCAATACGGAGGTTTGGGCACAGGAACTCAAATCTTGAATCACTTGGATATCATTTATATTTTTCATTGATTTTATTTCTAATATTTTTAACATTAGAACTCTAAATTAAATCTCAACTTTTTTATGAAATAATTAATTTTCTATTTTAATTAGAATTCTAAATTAAATCTCAACATTTACATGAAGGGATTAATTTTTTATTTTAATTAGAATTCTAAATTAAATCTCAACATTTACGTGAAGGGATTAATTTTCTATTTTAATTAGAAATTTAAATTAAATCTCAACATTTACATGAAAGAAATAATTTTTTCTATTTTAATTAGAATTCTAAATTAAATCTCAATATTTACATGAAAGAATTAATTTTCTATTTTTTATTAGAATTCTAAATTAAATCTCAATATTTACATGAAAGAATTAATTTTCTATTTTAATTAGAATTCTAAATTGAATCTCTATATTTACATGAAAGAATTAATTTTCTATTTTAATTAGAATTCTAAATTAAATCTTAACATGAAAGAATTAATTTTCTATTTTAATGAAAATTCTAATTTAAATCTCAATATTTACATTAAAGGATAATTTTCTATTTTAATTTTACTATTAATAAACCGAAAGGTTGGGGGTTCGAGCCCCCACAACCCCTTTGATTTTGAGAATTAAAATTGCTACAATAGGGAGGTTGTGGGCTATATCCCCACTCTCCACATTTATTTTTACTTCTCTATTTTCATGGTTTTTAACATGGTGAGGTCACGGGTTCAATACTCCATGACCTCACTTGTTTTGATTCATTTTTTTTGACATTTTGAACCCTCTTTGCTGACCGAAATTCATCACTAGAAGCTGGAAATTTCCTTTTAATTTTTCAGCATCCTTTTATCAAGTTACACCTTAGTTCTTAGGGGAATTTCGTAGTGCATGTGGAACGTTTTAGGTGCGTTTTCATGGATTCGTTTAGACAAGAGATTATCCCTCAAATCAGCCACATTTCAACTCATATGAACATCACATTTACATCAACATGTGTACATGAATATAAAGAACTATTATGCCATTTCAAATCCTAAACCCTGAACAATAGCCATGGCGACACACACATACACACGTTGTGACATTTTCGGGAACATCAACATGATTCACATAATTCTAAACATACATATAAACACATAAACATAATGAAAACATTTTTGATCCCTAGCTTTCTACCAGCAAACATAACCAACCTGTGATTTAATAGGAGCTAGTGACAGGGACATGCAACGGGGAACAATCTTAGTTTTCGGAATGAATATTCTGAACCATAAGGGGTCTCTTGGGAAAGGGACCAAGAGAGAATAGATTCCATACCTTAATAGATGTTCAAACGCTGATGTTGCTGCCCGGAAACTCCTCCAAACCAATCCCAATATACTTCAACGTACACCTCACTCGACGAACCTCTCTTAGACTTGACGTTTTGATTACTTTGTCTTTTACTTAAAAATGTGAGTTCTTCAAGTGTGAATAACTCTTGATGTATTTTCAGTTCTTGAAATTATTTTTGGCAGAAACCAACGAGAGAGAGAGAGAGATGGAGAACGTGAGACGGAGATAGAGTGTTATTAGGATTAGGAGACTAAATTCAAGACTTAATACAAATATGATTTATTTTAATTAACACGTGAAAGGACCATTATGCCCTTAAAATTTCAGATTTTTAATTAATAATTAAATCACCGTAAGTACCTATTTATTCAATTTAATTTTTGAATTGTTACAGTGCCTACTCAAAATAAATTTATATTTTAAGAATATCCTATATTGAAAGCAGAGTAGTATATTAAAACAAAATTGGGAACTACTTTAATGAAAAAAATGTAACTCGTGTACCTTTAAACTTTGAAAAAAATTAAAATTGGAAGATGAATGGAGAAAGCGTAGCTCGTGTATTTTTAAAATTGGAATCAAAATATATCTTGTAGATTGTAATCTCAAAGAAAAAAACATAATAAGAAACTCATTTATATATTTAACTTAGCCACGAAATAACAAAACCCATATCGTCACCTATATAGTGCACAAATTTCTTGACAAAGCTTCTCAAACTTATTATTTCAAGCCATATTAATTCACCAAACACTTTTGTAATAACACAAATTCAGATTATGCACCGACATAAGACTCAACATAAGGTCATATTATCTAAAGCAAAACTCTTTGTAACTTTCAAAAAGTTATGGGCAAGTGTTGTCAAGGAAACACACGACCTTTCTATTTATAAAGGATCACATGTTGCTATTGTTTCTTAATCCCAGGGTGGCGTACCATATGTGTACAATTCCTCGGGCAGCTTTGACACCATAAATAAGTTCCTCAATGATGTGAAGGCTTCTACGGTCAAATGGGGTCATTGATTTAAATGTCTTTAAACAAGGATTTATCTACTTGCTTTATCTTACTTAGTATTAGGTACGAGAAATGATCACTCATAAAGTAGGTGATAATTTCTCTTAACTAA